TGGTTAAGAAACAAGTATTGTAAGACCCCATTACTAGTGCAGATTAACGTCTCCATTACACACTTATTTTTAAAAAAATACAAATGGATGGGATGCTACCAAATATCTAGTTTGTATTATCTACCTACAATTTCATTGTTAGTCTTCAGACTTTGTGCCATTTGAAACATGGTCTGTCCTTTGTAGTATGTGATCTGGTGTTGAGTAATGTTTACATATTGATCATGGAGAGATGGGTTTAGCAGGATTGCTCTGTACATTAAACTTTCAATTGATTTCAAACAGAATGATTTCCAAAGTAATTCAACACTGGTTTATTCATGATTCCACATGAACCATATAGATCATCCTTTTTATTTGGCTGTGAAAGGTGGGATCTGATGCACTGGTCTGGCCATGATTCAAGTATTCACCCAACAGTGCTTCCTTAAGGTATATTTCTGTGAATAGAGATTGTCAGCTAACTGTTTTATCTTAAATTAAACTGAAATAACTTTCTTGTGCCACAGATGGAAGACATGAAAACAACTAAAAGAAAAATTGAGCAAATACCAGTAAAAATTACAAATACAAATACTTTTTGTATAGTTTACCATGTAAACGCTTGATAGAGGTTGGAATTATGAAGTGCTAAAAATAGTTCTGTTATAGCAGATAAAATTTCTTAGAAGGAAACTGAGTCCACCTGAGTGTATCCTAAGATAAGTATTTCTCTAAAAGTTTCAAATTTAGAATATGTTCAAAATAATTTCTAAAATATAAGTAATTTAATGTATGAATGTATGGAAATATGTAGCTAAAAAGAATGTCTTCTTGAGTCTTAAGGCTGTATCATGCCAACATTAAAAACTGCATATACTACATAATTTATTGTTACTGTTTTGTTGACATGTATCTTGTGATAATATCAAATCTACATTTATACAGAAATAAACCTGCATAAAATACATATTGTAATTTCCTATGCTGTAGCCCTGAGGCTGCCATCATCATCACTTGTGTTTCCTTGCCTTGTTCAGGACCACAATTCAGCAAATTCCAAATCCATGATTCTGCAGAACTTCTGTCTTGTTTCTGTATTCTGAGTTCATTAACTGCACTAAAAGCTACTCCAGTCCTCAGTGTCCAATGTAAAGGAATACTGAGGGCAGTGATTCATTCACAGATGCAGGAAGTAATCGTGATAACATTTGTTTGAAGAGTGAACTGAGTCATATTCTTATCCATATTTATGATGATGACAGAAAATTAGCTCTGTATCTGTACAAAGTCTGACATCTATGGAAGAACACACAGATTATCCTGGGCACTGAAGACATCGAAGTTATTATGAACCTAGGCCCTATGAATGTTAAAATTTTGTGCAGTCCTTCAACAATATCTTGTATACCTACCTTTTAAGCATGAGAAACACGGGAACATGAAAAATATTGTACTCTAATTCTACTTAGGCTTCCACTGACAAGAAGATGAGATGGGACTCTATGCACCTACATGATACTCTCACAGAGCCTATCCACACTACTTAGTGACTAAAGATAAACATTTCATGGAAAAAAAGAAAAGCTTTGAAAAAGATAAAGCAAACAAGCAAGTTACATTAACTTTTTCACACCACTTCACACTGTAAGCACTGAATTTAAACAGCTTGTTTTGTTTCGTATGAGTGACTTTCTTCCCTTCATGTACTAATTCAGCTAGATAAAGTAGCTTCTTGTGGCTATGAGCTCTAGAATATCTTTCCAGTCCTCCAAGGGCAACAGATTTTTTGTCAGATTTTCCAGCAAATGAGTTTCCCCTGTCATAATTTGGCTTTTACTTTTTCCTCTGAAGATAATTATACTTGTAGGAAGTCTTGTTAGCAAAATAGTATCTTATAAGATTTGTAAGGGCATTATAATAGCATGCTATCAGATTTATCTAGACATTTACAACGCATTCATAAATTATCTAATGCCATTTTAGCAACCCTTCAGATGAATCTTTTAGTTTCACTGGAATTTATCTCTAAGGGTGCTTGAGAACATGAATAAAGAATCACAAGCAGGCTTCACTAAATATAACAACTGTCAGCGAAAATGTATGGTTAGTAGCATAGTGGTGCAGGAGTGGAAGACAAGTTAAGAAAATACCACCAAATGACTAGCAGTTTATATACTATATTATTTACTGTTTGTTCCACAATTTTTTAAAAATATATTTTCTGAAGAAAAACAGTCACAAATGTATAAGCCATTTTTGTTTGTTTGTTTGTTTGTTTTGCCTGTATGTGCATGGTTACAAATTGTTAAATGTGCTGTACTGCTAGAAAGATGTTTGATCCATGAGAATTCAGTGTCTCAGTATCTCCAGGATTTGGGTCCTCACTGGCATAACATTAAAGAGTTTTGAAGTCTTTTCTGTTTAAAGTACCTTGGAGGGAGGTAGAATCCTATTCTAATAAAATATGGTATTAGTTGCATGTAGAAAATAAGCAGTGTTGCTACTGCAACCTGTCTCTAGCTTGCTAATAGAGCATTTCCTTCATACTTCTTCTCCTGGCACTAATCATTCTCTGTTCATTTACAAAACATTTTCTATTTCATATTTCCCTGAAGGACTCAGGGAAAAGGAACATGTTGTCTTGTTCATAAAGTATCCTTGCCATTCAGTATTACCAGAGATTAATTACACTGAAATTGTTGCCTAGTCTTTACTCATCCTATTTGATCAATTTCTAACTAAGAGATCAGAAGAGGTGCTGAGTACAAATTGAGCAAGAAGCTTTCAGCACTGAGGGTATGCAAAGAGCATGGATGTTTCTTAGCTTTAGCGCTCCTGAATCATCAAGAAGCTGTTTGTCTGTGTAGAGAGAAATGTTGACTAGTGAGTTGGAAAGATTTTGCCAGGAAACTCCTGTACACTATTACTTTGACAACTAAGATTACTGTATTCTGCAAAGTCTTTCATTTTTCAAACTTTTCTTGAACCCTTCATAGTTTAATAACATTTGTATACATTACAGGAATATCGTTTAGAGTATATCACTTTTGCGTTTTATATATATATATATATTTAAAAGTGGCATGAAATAATAGATTTTACTATTTATATTTCGTTGTGTATTTTTAACTTTATGATTTCCTGGATGTGTTTGATATAATCTTTTTATTGCACACATAAAATGAACTTATCTTCAGACGCCAATTTGCAAAATTAAGCTTCCACAACAGGTGTGATTAGGAATGTCTACACATTTCTGAAATCATCAGGGCCCTTTGAAGAACTGGCCATACATTACAGACTTTAATTGACAACTATAGATCCTTAGAAGAAAAGGTTGCTGCTGTTTTGGCTCATGTTTATGTTTCTCTGCTTAGGTGTGCTTTCAGGTTTTGACATTTTTCCAAAAGCAAGAACAGCTCTTTTTTTTAAGGAAAGAAAAATAACCTTTCCCACATGCATTGGCTTTGCAGGCAAAAAAAAGATGAAATCTTGGCCCAGTCTCTTAATGTGAGTCTGTAGTGCCACAGAGATCCCCAACAGGCCTTAAGATACGTTTACTCAGAAATCCATTTAGTCATGGATTATTTCCTTTGTTTCCATGTGTATCACAGCTAAATATAATCATCACAATGTGTTCTGTGTCCTCATATGGGATTGAGATGGTTTTGTTTGTTTTTTGTTTTTATAGTTGTCTGTTGTGCGTATATATATACAATATATCTATACAATATATATATACAATATATATATATATATATTAATTTTCCAGTCAGACAAAGAAAGCTGGTAAAATCAGCCAGTAGCTGGAGATGAAGGACATTTGGCATGTTTGCATTCCTTAGGCTACCTGCTAGCAAACGTGGACAAATATAGAGAATATGAAAATATAGAGTAGCATATTAAAGTTATGTATTATACAAATCTCATTTTTTGTATTTATTTAGGAGGTAACAAACATCTTTTAGCGCTGCATGAAATGAGGATACCCATGGCCACAAGTTCTTCTAGTACTAAATTCTAATCCAAAGTACTGCAATAGCCTCTGTAAACTGTGAAGCAATATATGTTTTCTTCCAAAGGGAATATCATGATTTAGATGTGTTATATTTTGCATGTGCCAACAGAATGCAAAAAAACTGTCTTTTAGCTCTTTTCTTTACCCACAGTAAATCTCAGATGTCAGCTGCAAGCAATTTTTGATGGCAATGTTTGTTGGAGGCCATTAGAGGTACAGATGCTGTGTATTTGGCAACATGCATCAGGAAAATCTCAGATTGGGAATCAGAGATCCTAGTAATACAAACAGAACCGTAAAATCTCAACTTTCTAAGGATTTATTGACAGTAGATTATTGTCAGCTTTAAATATTAATCTAATAAAATCACAAGACAAATCAAGTCCTATGTTTAAGTGCCTCTTTGGGGAAATTATTGCAGTGTTTGTTGTATAAAAATGAAGAAACAGGGATACTGTAAATGGTTATACAGGATTTTTTTTTTTTTTTTTTTAATGAAACTTAGAACCCAAGTACCTTCTAGCTTCAGATTTTGATGAAATAGCTAACACTTTACAGATCAGTCAGCTCACCAAGAGAAATAGAGGTAAGTCAGATAGCTCCATGAAGAGAAATAAGTGCTTATTATGCTTTGTAAATATCACCTGTTTCTAATCACTTACTTGACATACCTGCCTGACAATAAAGAGTCAAATCCCAGAGATTGTGTTAAGATACAAAGTCATATTAAGGAAACACTGTAAAAGTGGAAGAATGATCCTGCTTTTTCCAATCAAACTAGTAAAATAAGACTTTGCAGACTCATGTGAGAAAGTACTGCAGAATAATCCAAACTGCTTGGGCTCTTACTTCTTTAAAAGAAGCATTGCATTCCCCAGGCTCAAACCTAGGGATCTTGAACTATTATCTGACTTCAAGCCTGCACAGGTGAGAGGTTGAATAGCTCGCCAATAATTACAGTAGTTTCATCCACTCCCACTGAGCATTTGACATGGCTTCTTAGCCTGTGTCTGACAAACAGCAGCTGGGTCTCTGGCGAGCTTGTGTTCCAGCTGGGAAGTAACAACCCCAAGCTCGCTGGGAAGCAGAAGCTCCCAGCCTCAGCTATCTCTCAGCAGAGCTTATTCCCTGCAGCCAGATGCTTTAGCTTAACAAACAGTGCAGTCGGATATCAGTTGCAGGTTGGAGGCAATGGTTGTATTGACTATCCTGCTGAGACTGGAGTCTGCTTATACAAGTTTTCCTTTCAGTATAGATTGTTTTCTTAATGGTTTTGTCCTAAGTAGCTGGCAGTGGAATCAGTTAGAATGGAAAATGTGCCTAACTGTACTAGTACCCTTTTTCCTATGCTTGATCCCTTCAGGAAAAAAGCTCCAGGTGGAAAACAGTCTTCTAAGTTGATAGCTTGCAGCTAGAATGTATATGAGCTCTGCAAATACTTATTCTCTTTGCTCAGTCTCTAACTCCTAGCTAGAACTGGTGCATTGCTGCATTAGTGCTATTCCACTTCTTGTTTCAAAGAGTTCTCTATCACTCTGTTTTAGGGGGCAGTGGCTAAGCAGAATTTCTAGCTTATACAAGTAAGCAAAGGTTAAGGTAAGAGGACGCATAGGAGCATTTCTATTGTAACAATGGAATACTAACAAAGACATGTTAATGTGTAAGAAAGGAGAATGGGCATTTATTGTTTAACATCCATTTCTGAGCCATTACCTTGGGGGTAGACTTTACTCTGTAGAAAACAAACAAAACAGAACGTGTGCTAGAAAAGTTCATGAGAATTTTACTTTCCTCCTCTCCCTTTTATTCAGGCAACTCCTGGAGTACAAAAACTTCAGGATATTAATACAAAATTGGGAAGTGGGAAAGTGGTATACTGAGTTAGGAATGAAGGAAACAGGAAAAAGCTCATCTTTTTCCTTCCTAAAAGAATCCTCCTGCTTTGCAGAACTTGCATGTAGCATGCTTCCATTGATAACTGATGCTAATTATAGTAGAAATAAAGCAGGGATAAACTGCAATTGAGAAATTTCTAATTTGCATTCAGTTCAGTTAGCTGTGTTGAACACAGATGCATGCAACAAGACTGTCGTGGTGACTTAGTCACTCAGTACCATCTGAAAATAAGGGGATTAAGAAACACCTGAGATGGATACTACTGCCAAAAAATGGTGAAATTTCTATCAAATACTGAGATGACAGGTGGGAAGACAACTGTTTTCTTTTCTGCCTGTGCAAATGCATCCCTAAGGGGAAAGAAGACACTTTTGCATCCCAGGTCCTATGAAACTTCAAGTAAATTCAATTTTTACTTAAATTCAAGATTTACTCTATTGGGGTGTATGTGTGCTTGGGTGAAAATCATCTTATTTCAGTTCATAACAAATGTTATTTAACAGTTATTACTATGAATATTTGACTATTGGATTAAGAGTTAAAAAAAATTCTCTTTCATCAAATGAAATGACCAGAGAAATCCCTTAAGTTTAACTTCAGTGTTACTGGGACTGGGCTTTTCCTTCTCTGTGGTAATAAATAATAAAACACAGTGTAATACAGGAAGAGGTAGACAAGTGAGAGAGAAGAAAAGCAAGCAAAGAAAGATGCATCCTGCCAAACAGAAATAATATGAAAGGTCAGGAGAAAAAAATGTAAACATTCAGAGGTAGATAGTAGAACAGAATAACTAATCAGGATAAAATAGAATTAAGGTAAACTCTTTGTTTCACTGGGGGACTGGCTCAGCGCATAATCCAGTGATGCCGTTTCTGGATAATACAGAGGGTACAGGAAAAGATGACAGACTGGGCATAAAGAAGGTAAGATTAAGGTAAGATTTGGTTGGTTTTTTTTTTTCCTGTGGGGTATGTTCGTGATATGAAAGATAACTGCACTCAGATATGCCCTGAAAATGGCTTGTCTGTTTGTTTGTTGGGTTTCTTTCTTTCTTTCTTTCTTTTTTTTTTTTTTTTTTAAATGTGGACACTGCCACCAATATGTAACAATTTGCATGTAGGACAATTTTTTTTTTCCTAATATTATTATCTCCTGTCTTTTAACAATAATTTATGAATTTTGAGCTCATGGTGATGTTGTTGTTATTATTTAATAATTGTATACAGAACAGAAAAGACGTCTGCAAGTGTGTTTGAATTTCTTTTTATTTATCTTGCCTCTGCTTTTCAAAGAATTTTAGATCAGCCTGATGCTATCTTGAAATACTCTGACATCTTGAACAATATAACTCCAAAGAACCTAGCATTTGCAGGACAGACTATATGAAAAACCAATATGAAGTTCAGTACCAATCATAAATGATCATGATTTATTGCACCACATCCAAAGTAGATAACCACTAAATCCATAATTCACTGTAATAGTATCATAGTCAAGCCTGACAAAAAGTCGTCATATTTATACTTTGGTAGTTCAGATGAGTAATTTATTGGTTCTAAAAAATAATGTACTGTAAAAATACGCATAGGACTGTAGACTAGAACAATAAAAAGCTGCATTTTGTATACAGGTCCATGCACTGAAAAAGGTGCCCCTCAGGAAGCCCTCATGAATGTATTAAGAATATACAGAATATACAGTAGCCTGATATGCTAAGCAATCTTACTTGCCGTAACATTTTAAGACGCTAACTTTTAATAATAATACCATTGAAAATCTTCCTTTATCAGTGCTCCAAAACAGAATACTTTGTCCTCCCTGACTCTTATACTAAGTCTACCTTAACAGAATACAAGTAGTCTACTAAGGCTTTACACTCATAAAAGCAAGTTCACCTCATTTCCTCAAGTACCTGTTAAGTTTTATTGATCATATGTATAATTTGTAGAATGTTTACAGAATTTTCTTAATAAATTATCAGAAGCTTAGTTCCAAAAAGAAAGATCACATCTTGTATCTCATGCCATCTTGAGATGGGGACAATTTATCTTCAATCTGCTTATTTGAGTAATATGCTGAAATGGTGTAATGGATAGAAGAGTCTAACATTTAGAAAGACTTTTCACAGAATCATGGAATGGCCAGGGTTGGAAGGGACCTCAAGGATCATGAATCTCCAACCCCCTGCCACATGCAGGGCCACCAACCTCCTCATTTAATATTAGACCAGGGTGCCCAATCACCTCCCTGTCCCTGCTGGCCACCCCTCTTTTGATGAAGCCCAGGATACTATTTGCTTTCTGAGTTGCAAGAACACACTGTTCACTCATGTTAAACTTTTCATCCATCAGGACCCCCAGGTCCTTCTCTGCAGGGCTGCTCTCAAGGACCACTCCTTCCAGTCTGTATGGATGCCTGGGATTCCTCTGGCCCAAGTGCAAGACCTTGAACTTTGCTGTGTTGAACCTCATTAGGTTCACACGGGCCCACCTTTCAAGCCTGTTGAGGTCCCTCTGAATGGCATCCCTTCCTTCCACCATGTCAACCATATCATTCAGTTTGGTGTCATCAGCAAACTTGCTGAGAGTGCACTCGATTCAGCTGTCGATGTCATTGATAAAGATAGAGGATGATAATCACCTTCCTCATCGTGGTGGCTGACTCTCTTCTGATGGAACCAAATCCTATATTTTTGGTTTTCCAGGCTGCAGGTGCCTATTGTTGGCTATTGTTAAGTTTTTTATCAACCACAACCTCTGAGTCCTTCTCAGCACAGCTACTCTCAAGCAATTCTTCTCCCAGTTTGTATACGTATCTGGGTTTACTTCAACCCAAGTGCAAAACCTTGCACTTTGCTTTGATGAACCTTATTATGTTCACAAGAGCCCACCTTCTGAATTTATCAAGGTCCCTCTGGATTTCATCTCTTCTTCTCTGTCAACTGCACCACCCAGCTTGGTGTCATGAAAAAGTTTGCTCTGGGTGTGCTCAATCCTATCATCTATGTTATTGATAACGATGTTAAAGATAGACCCAATACAGACCCCTGTGGCACATTGTTCATTACCAGGCTCCACCTGGACATAGAGGCATTGACCACAATCCTCTGGCTATGATCTTCCAACAAATTCTTTATCCAATAAATAATCCACCCTTCAAATCTATATCTCTCCAATTTAGAGATATGGATGAGGTGGGTTATTTAGCTACTACTTCTGACTACATAAAGCTTGTGAAAGTGTAAGGATCACAGAAAGAGTACTCACAAGTGATCATTAGTCAGTAAAGATTGTTACTCTTAAGAATGTTTGTGGCTTAAGGAACTGTATAAATAATGCTAAATGACCAGTATTAGAATGCTTTGCAACTTTGTGTTACATTCTCAATTAAAATGGAAATACTTTTGAACACAATTGTTTTTAAACTATTTTAATTTTACTGTAGCTAATAAATTGAATCACTTTTCAAACAAAAGAATCAGTTCATATTTTTATCATTAAAAAAGTGTTATGTAATTTAGATAATGCTAAGAGTGGCACTACTTAAACAATGTACACTTGACAGCACAGAAAAAAAATCATTCAATAAATAATGTAGATCATTACTGTCATTTATCTCCTTCAGTTTAACGTGTTACATAGGATATGATATATGTTTAGATGAAATCTTGGTAAGGGTTTAAAGAACAATTCTAAACAGTTTGTCTGTAGCGTTCTAGGAGCATAAGTAAATTTAAAACTTTGCAAGGTTGAGCAAGCAGGCTGTATATAAATCTAAACTGTCTGAATGGCTGACTTTGTGTTGTTTTTTTTTAAGTGCTGCACATTCCAGAGCCTACTAGAATTCAGCTTCATCTGAATTCAGTGACATAAAAGATGAGAGCTGCATAAGAAAGGACCATTATACAGGTTCTTTGTTAGCAGCCTTCCAGTGTCATGGTAAGTGACATTTCATCATTTAGAAAGAATTCAATGTATAACTTTACAGACTGGCTCAAATTAGATATGGATACTATTGACGCTTGGAGATAAGATGGGACAGCAACAAAACTAGGCTTTTTTTATTATGCTAATTGTCTTCAACTCAAAAATAGCAAGGCTATTGGAATGCTTTGGAGAGACATCCAATCAATCCACCTTATAAACATATATCTATGTGTTTTGTTTTATATTTATCCTGCTCAGAAAACCATATTGTATTACTTATTCAATTTCTTTGCTCCCACGTGCTTTATGAACTGTTTTAAAGATTAAGAATAATGAGTGAATATAAAGATGTATACAGTATTAAGCTACCATTGGTTGAACTGAACATATCAGTTTAAAATTATAGCAATAATTATAGGTAATAATAAACATCTTTAGTTACGACTAGAGGTTCATCGTGTTAGGTGCTTTGTGTAAGTTAAGAATCAAATAGTTTATCATCTCATCTGAGATGACAGAGTGAAAGTAGAGATTGTGAGGCAGGGCGGTTTGAAGTTAATAGAGGCAATTTGTCTAACATTTGTTCTTTTCTTCTAAACAGATAACACTGAGAATGCTGCTCACTTTATTAGTAGTTAGGAGTTAAATATCTCTTAGATATCTGAAAAGTTCCATTCACATATAAACCGCACAGAAAAAGTGGAAGCTAAAACCTGCAAGAGAAAACTGGCTGCATGTGGTTACTGAGTGACCTCATTTAATGTATTCTAGTCATTCTGTTCAACTTTCTGACATAAATCTCAAAGATTTTGATAATTGTTTACAGAAGACATAAAATTATTTTGCATCCTACTTAAAATATACTCTCTCTGAAGTTATGGAAGCAAAGTTACTCATCTTTCTTCTGGTAGAGTAAATTGGTACGTGGTTACTGCTTGTGTTGTCAGCAAGAGGGCATGAAATGTCCTGAACAACAAATATTTTATGTTCATTGAGTGCTGAAAATGGAAAAGTGATGCTTGCTGATGCAGAAAATGTATTGCAGTTCTTTTTTTACCAAAAAATGTTAATGTGTTCATAGTTAATTAAGCATTAGGCAGCAAAGTTTGTGAACTCCAGGCCTGGAAGAGCCAATTGCCAGCAGTGCTGTGTGTGCAGGCTGAAGGAGAAGCCTACACATGAAGAACAGCATCCTAAAGAGCTGATAATTCAGAAAAGCCTAACTCTTTCTGTGAGTGTAACATGTGTGGCACCTGTTTCCATTTTACTTTATACATTTCACAACCTGTATCTGACCACTTGATGAATGTTTGAAGGGAAAAATAAATTAATAATGAATTTTATACTATGCACAGACTATTATGAAATGTACTGTAAGTGTTGAAGGGAGCCTTCAGAAGAATCTTTACCTTATAGTTATATCTAGTCAGTGTTTGCAGGTGAATCTCCACCTGGAAATCTTTAGTTGCCTCAGAATCAGGCAAAACAAGGAAACAGTCTGTACAAGAAACCTCCACTGAAATCATATGAGTGAGCAGCTATTTCTTCACCCTATACACAGCACTGGAGAAGAAAGAGAAGCAAAGTAACAGTTGCAAGCTGTTAGGTCATGCAGCACTCATCTATACTGCAAAATTCACAGCCAGCAAACCACGATGTTTTAACTATTTCTTTTACAGATAGGCAGCATATTTCTTATATCCACAAACATCAATAAAACCTTTCACAAATGTGAAAGATGCAGACTGGGGCACAATCAATTTTAATAGAAAAGATATAGGCTGCCCAGAGAATTTGTGGACTCTCCCTCTACAAAGATATTTGAGACTTGTCTGGATGCCTAATTGTGCAACCTATTGTAGAGTACCTGCTTCAGCAGGGGGGTTGGACTTGATGATCTCTTGAGGTCCCTTTCGACCCATGCAATTCTGTGATTCTACAGAGAGACCCAGCATAATTGTCAAACTTCAAGACCAACAGTTTTATAAATTCAGATTATTCAGATAATTCCCCAGTTTGGCATGGCCTTTTTGCGGAGTTAACTCAACTGAAAACAGTGTTAGGCAAGTGATACTTTGACTATATCTTCCCACTTCACACATTAGATGATCCTGGGATGCAATCAGAGAGCAAACAAAGCACTGGTAGTTGTTACTGGGAAGGCTTGTCCAAAAGTTCTCAGCAATATCTGCTCATTTCGATTGGTTTAGGTATACACAGTAAAAATAAAAAATGGATGGATGAAAGCTTTACATCTCGTTAAGGCACTTGAGACAGAAAGCCAGAAAGTGATATTAGCCTGAGTAAGAACATCTCATCAGCTTGAGACATGGGAAAAATCAAATGGACTGTCCTGGGCTGATACAGTCAACATGGCCATCAGCAACTTATGCCAACCATCTAAGGCAGAGCCCACAAATAATGAAAACAACAGTTCTGGGCAGTGGGAGATGTGCCCACAGGTATCCAGAGGTGTTCTGAAGGTGAAGCCAGAATTCCAGCCAGGGCTTGGACACCACATCCTGGCCCAGGTAATGTCCTGGCCCACTTGTCCATGGGGCTGAGAGACTGCAGTGCATGTGCATGTGTTCTGTACAGATCATGTGTGCAAGTGATAAATTGGACACTGGTTCACACTGGCTGTGTCACCCTGTTTATTAATTACTTCGTATTGGTGGCTAGCAATATTCTGGAATAAAAAAAAGTTTCACCATTCTTTAGTCTATAAGGTGAATTGGTATAATTTTTTAAGAGTAAGGAATATCCTCAGAAAAATTCTATATTTATTGTTTGTAAAGATGCAACGAGAAGAAAGGCAATTGGCTTGTGCTCCAGTTAAATTACAGTAATAGTAATTAGTTTTAGCTTGTCTGAAAACATCTCTGCAAGGATTAGTGCTATTTTTTTCCACTTTCAAAATTGCCATTATTTCAGAGAAAAACAGCAATAATTTTTACTGCTTTATCCACACAACTTCCATAGTATTATTCAGAACATGATGAATTGGATTTCTCATAAATGCAGGCAAATATATAAGTATCAATAACTTGTAATAATACATAGCCATAAATTACAAACTGCAGTAGAGAGAAAAGATTTGTGACATTACTAATTATAACTGGTATAAACAGTATAGAATGTCTAACATGACTTAAATCTATCACGGAATATGCTGAAAGAGAAGAAGAATCCAGTAAATGGGAGATACATCAAATATCAAGGAAAAATAGATATTGCATAATTAGCCACAATAAACATGTAGGCAGAAAATGTGTGATTGTGTTTTAAAAGTTATGTGCTCTTCTGCCAAGGCACATGTTGAATGAAAATATTTAAACATCAATCAGCATACTCATGTTTTGTTGCAAGGACTCTTTTAAGGAAGAAAATAACAAAGGAAAGATCTTTAAAATCTTTAAAACATTAAGGGCTGGAGTTCTTGCTGTCCTAACTTTTGTGGTTGAAGGAGATTCAGGACCTCTGCTGCTTTAAGACTTCTGTTTATGTTTTTAAGGTGCTGCTTGCAGTGGGAGCTAGGCCTTCATACAGCTTTAAGGATCTAGAAAACTATCCACATATCTTAGGAATTCCGGTAAAATCTTCCATTTCTCTAACTGCTGTAGTCTCCAAGAAATAACATTGTGTGAGTACACACTTGTGGCTTATACTGGAAGATGTTGTTTGAATGGTCTGTCAGGGTAGTTTCTTGTTTGAATTGAAACCTCTACATCCATTTTCTTCTATGGTAGTTTTGTAAAACTGCTGTTGTTGCATATGGCCCACAACTTCTGTGGTGAGCTGTGGTGAAGCTTGAAAATATCCCCAGAGAGGAAACAACTTTTAGTTTTCAAAAATCAGTCAAAATGCCAACTGCTTAACTTCTTTCTAAGACCCGGAAAATGCAGACATCTTAATTAACCTGCCTCAAATGTTCTTAACTTGATTTGAAAGAGAATAACAAACTTAAAGGGACACAGTGAAAATATGCTCATTGCCAAATAATGTTGTTTTAGTAAAACAGTAGTACAAAATACCCTAGAGTAGTAGCATAAGAATATGAAAATGCAGACTGTAGTATGTTTTCTATAAGAAGTGAATAGGCTAGTTTTTGGTGCTATGAAAGACTTTTAAAAAAGTGATATAATTTAATTTAAGCAAAATTTTGTACCTTCTGAATGTATTTATACAACTGTAAAAATTATAAAATTTTAAAAAAGAATTTGAATGTATTGTCATTGATTATTTACCCAGAGATGACAAATAAAAAAATAAATCTATGGCACCAATGCAACAAAAATTCTGACAATGTGTCATTTCTCCTCTGTATACCATACAGTATCAATTAGAATAATACAAATAAGTGGGGTCCTCAGGCAAAATAAAATGTCTCTCGAAAAGTATAGGCACTAAATATTATTATATGCGTACATTATATGCATACATTCAGAGCTATCTGAATGTCTTTGGTTTACCTAATATCTAGATATTCAGAATCCTGCATAATCTTGATGCATATTCCTATTAAACTGACAGTAACATCATCAAATATGAATGTTTCTATGGCCCAAATGAATATTTTTGTTATTCAGTGTGTTTTGCTTGCTAAAAATAAGTAAAAATAAAACATAACAAATATTTGACCCACAGCCCCAAGCTGCTCCAGTATAAGAATGTTCAAATATAATGTAGGAAAACATTTGGCCAATTCAGCATTGATTGACAGGGTGTGTATCCGAAAAAGAGCCTATGAACAGCACGGATTACTGTTTCTGCTGTAGTGCTGTTCTGTTGAAGACATTCTGTGAAGCCACTATGGGCTACTTGCTATGTAATTTTGTTTTGTTTTGGCACATAGAAGTGAGAAGATTTCCATGGGACAAAAAGAGAGCTGCTAGCTGACTGTGAGTGACAGCACAAAACATTGAAACAATAATCCACCGAGATCATTTATGTAAAAAAAGGAACCCAGAGATATTCAGCCCCTGAGGCTTCTCTTGTAAGAGGCTATTATTATTTGTATTGATTTTAGTATGCAAGTTCTCGCTTTCCTTCCCTCTCCTGGCCCACAGTGCAAACTATAAATAATAAACTAAAGAAGTCTCCCTGAAACCATCACTCCTTTGCAGCACATTAATTTTGTGCACCTCCAGTTACAAAACCAGAAAAGCCATAGGGAAAATGGGCAGGCAGAATGAAACTTCCACAGTCAAAGAAAGTACTTTCCAGCATTCTCAGCTGCCTTAGACACTATTTACAGTTATAGTTAAATATAACATGAAAATGACCTTTTTTTGATGCTAGTTGTGCTTTGGCTACTCAGTTAATCAGGAACTTTTCTGTGTTCTCTCATGTATCAGACAATCTCATTCAGCTTTTTATTACTAAATCCCAATATCACCACAGTTACAATGTGTCTTGAAAACTGAGATATTTACTTGTACTCAGTGTTTCAGGATGCAGGAATTAGCACGGGATTTTTCCGTATTTGTCTGCTTTCTAGTATTTGAATAGAATTATAAGAATTAGAGATGGAAAATATCATAGCTGAAATACTGGCTTCATTCAACTTTATTTGCCTGTTATCATTAACATAAAGGATGGTAAGATTTCACTTTGACAATATTAGGTATCTAATCCATGCCTACTTCATCTTTTTATTTTCTACTTTTTTCATTTCTGCTCTTAATATGTGAAATGATATAACGACATAATTGAAGATTTCAGGGTTTTAGGTAGGTTTTAATGCAATCCAAGCATAACATATTTCTATCAAACATCTCTACTGAAATATGGGACTATGTAATACAGTATAAAGTGCTGTGCTCTAGTTTGAAGCCACTTGTGGTGGGTTGCCCAACAGCTAAACACCCATTGGCTGCTTGATCACTGACCCAAGTTTTATTGCTGAGAATAGCATGGACAGTCTCTGGCCAGTTTTGATCAGCTGCCCCAGCTGTGTCCCCTCCCAGCTTCTTGTCCACTCTGAGCCTTGCTGCAGGGACTGAGAAATGGAGAAGGTCATGATGCTATGCAGGCACTGCTCAGCAATAGCTACGACAATTATATATTTTTAACACTGTTTTAGTCATAAATGAAAAAGAAAAAGCAAGAAACACGGTATGGGTTGCTCTGAAGACAGTTAACTTCATCCCAGCCAAGCCTAGTACACTTTGCAAGTATTAAAGTTTTTTTATGAAAATCAAAGATAACAAATATGTTTACGTGAATTATGCAATGGTGTTTAAACCAACACAAAATCCAGTTTCTATCACAGTAAGAATAAAGAACTTTATGAATGAAAATATATTCCAG